CTGTTATACGGTTCACGCAAACTGATTCCCGGTACATTTGCGAACCAATTCCCTCTGGCACACAAATTGGTTCCCCAAAATTGACATACCGCTTACAAGTATGTAGAGCGCAAAGTCTCTTTACATGCACATGTGTGAGGCACAATGCAGTGCACATGCCCGAGTGAAGGGAGGTGCATGCAACACATAATAGACAAGCATGAAGAAATATATTTATGAGTTTTTACATAAAAATGATTTCAAGAACCTTAACTTAGGACTCAAACATAGATAATATCAACTATCAAAACACACAAAAGTTTCAATTAATCACATATACGCTATTATGCATAATTTAGCTAATCTCAGATTATCAATATAATCATAGTTTTGTGCTATTGTTTTGTATTGCACTATGACTATCATGATAATAACATAGTTTGCACAATTAGCTTTATATACTTTCTATTTTCTACTACACTTAGAGAAATGATGAGTGCACCCAAGAAAATTATAACGTACCACATACCCTTGAATCCAAAATAATTTAGGTGCGAATTGCGTACCCGAATTCATACCACCACCACTGTGTAACTATGCTATATACAAATGTGGATCTACGCATTTGTTAGTTTGCACTTTCTTTGCATCATCCCATTAGCACTATTTTTTTAATACTACGCCTCAAATCCCCGGATCTAGAAAAATAGCCCCAAATATCGTAGTTAGAAACCAACAACTTAGAGCTATGAAGCACAGATACTCCCCCGGAGGCCACGAATCCGTGTCTGACACGAATCAGACACGGATTCATGCAAGACACGTGTCGGACACGATCAATCCGTGTCCGACACGGGTCAACGGGTCAACTGAGGGGGACACGGTCAAACAAGGGGCGGGATACGACTTAGATTTGCCGAACAAAGAGAAAACGTTGAATGAAGACAACCCGAAACCCAAACCCAAAAGGCCAAAAACCCTAATGTTCACTTACTCAGTCCCGTCGCTCGTCCTCGTCTTCATCCATCAATCTCTTCTTTCAGATCTCGTGTTCGTCCTCGTCGTCCTCGCTCTCGTCGAGATCAGATCTCATGCTCCACTCGTCGCTCGTCGCGTCGCTGCTCTCATGCTCCTCAGATAGGCTCCACCCGTCGCTCGTCCTCGCCGAGATCAGATCTCGTGTTCATAATACGAAACCATAACATCCCTTTGCCAAAGAAACCATAAGATCATATCTGAGTCCCGCCGAACAAAAAAAATTACTGAAAGACAAAACCCGTAACCGAAACCCAAACCCATAACGAAACCCTAATATTTTCACTTACCTAAGTACCGCCGCCGCTCGTCCTCGTCTTCTCTTAGATCTCGTCGCTCGACTTCTCTCAGATCTCGTCGTCCTCGTCCATCGATCTCGTCTCTCTCTCTCTCTCTCTCGAGACGCCAGGGATTTTGGGAGCTTGAGAGTTGCGGCTAATGAGGGAACACTTAAACCCTAGAAGCAGTTTATATACAAGGCAGATAGGCCTCTCGCAACCGTTAGATGATATTTGGATTAATTTCAACCGTTGGATAGATTATTGATGTGTTAATTGCATATTGGTCTCTTAACTCATCTTTAATTGCCTAATAGGCCCTCACACTTTCACTATTTGTTTATTAGTCCGAAGTTTTCAGTTTTCTTACTAATTAGTCCCTCGTGTTAAGTGGTGTTATTATAAATTTTTCTATATATAATAATAATTTTAAAAAAAAAATCTTGTCGTATCCCCATATCCTATTTTTTTGGATTTTACCGTATCTCGTATCCGTGTCCGTGTCGTATCCGTGTCCCGTATCTGTGCATCACAGACTTAGTCATAGATGTTTGCAACTCGAGTAATACTCCATTTGATTTTTTTCATCAACATATCAGAGGTAAATGCCCTTTATGCCCCTAGTTTCATCCACCCTGAATCGTACTTTTACTTTTCTTCTGTTTGTCAATTGTCGCATATGTCAATAGTGTACAACATCTCAAACAACTAAACATGCAAGGAGTAAGGAGCAGTAGGAGTGTTGTCCTTGTTGACGACGAGCCCCAGAAATTCAGGTGGCTGAGCATGTGTCAATCAATTGTGGCATATGTGAAGGACTGAGATGTGGCTGGGATGATGTATTAGGCTATCTTTAGCACATCACTGGAGGAGGTCTTGGAGGCAAGCTGCTTATACGTTTATGTCTAGCCTAGAGTCAGGAAGAGAAAAGGAGAAAAGCGAATCATGATTCAGAGTTACGTGAGGGAGAGTATGCAGTGGTGGATGATGAAGTTGGCAAGGGCATGATGGGCTGGCAATTCTATGGGTTTACACCAGAGGGAAAGGAAGAGGGTTGAATATGACAATGGAGAATTAGGTCAGCATTCTGGATTATTGAGAAGAGAAGGGAGAGGGATAAGAAAAGGGTAATTTCATCATTTTTTAGTATATTAAGCTCACTGAAAAGGGATGTACATTCCCTGTTTATTCTCAAATACTAATGGAGAGGGTTATTCTATATTATACGGACAGGGATTCCTAAATAAGGCCATCTGAAACGAAAAATATTGGTGGCTCGAGGAATATATATGAAAGAAATTGTTTACTTATTTTTGTTATTCTATGGTTAGTTGTGTCACTTGTGTCATTTTCTTGTAAGACTTAGTCTTTTGAAAGTTCGATTACATTCTTTGTTTGCTTTCTGCTATTTTCCAGAATATCTCCTTCTTATCATCTCTTCTCAAACGCATTGATCAACTTCTGCAATTTGACAGGTGTGTGTGCTAGTTTATGATCCTGTTTTTACTGAAGTTGCTCTGTTGTTTTCATTTCATGTTTTTTAATTAAAGAAGGTTATAAGGGGAACATTATTCAGTTCTTGCATAATTCTTCTTGTCAGCTTTATGCCTAGATACAATGGGATCCTGACTGTTAGCTGTCTTCGCACCCTAGCACAGATAGGATGGAAGATGTCATCTATTGTACCTCTTGTAAGAAATCTTTATTCTCTGATTGTGTCATAGTTTCCTCTTGCATAGAGGTGACCTTTTCTATATGCTACAGGAACGTATTTCAGAAGTCATCAAACCATTCTGTAGCTCTGAGAAAGCATCTTGGATAGTGCGGCTTGAAGCATGCAAGTTGCTTCTGGATCTTGAATTCCATTGTAGAGGCCTTGATGCCACTTTATCTCTGTTTATGAAATTCCTGGAGGAAGAGACATCTTTACGAGGTGTGGTACTCAGTCCATTGCCGATCCTTGCCATGTAATTTATAGATCATGTTCTTTAATAAATTTAAATTGCAGGAGAAACCAAATTGGCTGTGCATGTGATGCACTTGTGTCAAATAAATGCAGAAGCGGAAATTGGCTATGATGTGACATGCCCAACTCTTGTTGCTCTCCTTTGCATGCTTGCAAGCAAAAAAGCATTTAACAATGTCTTTCTGAGGCACTATTTGTTCGGCATCATACAAATTGTTGCTGGGAGGTTAGGAAGAAGTTCTTTTTATTTTGTTCATCGGAGTAATATAGTTATTATGTTGGCATTTAGTCATCTTCAGTTAGCAGCTCTAAATATTTCTGCTAACTGTTCGCACAGTTCTGCTGTGATGCAGTCTCATCCAGCAATTTCCAGTAGCTAGTACATTACTTGCTTTTCTTGGTTCCTTTGTAAATGGTGGTCTAGAGCCTTGATTCTCAATTTTCATATAAGCCCAATCCACGTAGACTCAAGGTTGGTATGTGCCATAACCACTTTTAGTGAGAACAGCAAGTAATACTTACAGAGTGCAAACACATTGGTACATGTTTGTTGGACTGCAAGTGACTTGCAAGAGAACAATGAACAGCATTTAGTATGAAACACATGCGCTAGTACATGTCATTGGGAAGTAGATGGAGGCACCTGTATTGTTATACAAGCACTCTTTCTTTGGTAGTAATAGTTTCCCACTTTCCCCTGGAATCTGGTCGTCAAATTTATTACTAAGATTGTAACAAGTACTAGGGGCAAGTTGTTTTCTTTATTCTCCGGTAATTGTCCGTCGATTGTGAGTTTAGCTTGTGGGAAACCAACATCTGCAAAGAAGGGAGTTTACTCATGTAATTATCATAAGTTTTATCTCTCATGTATGTACCACTATCGTCTCTAATTCTCGAACTCATTGGTTTAGTCTCTTCTGAAATTCAGTCATTAATTTCTCTTATCACAGCTGTCATTCATATCTGCAATAATATTTATAAACGTTCACAGCTGTCATTCATATTTGATGACAAAATCTGGTTAGTAGATCTAGGATTCCAGACGTTCTTCCTATGATTTCAATGTGAGGTATTGAAATTTTTCTACATATAAAATCCGTGAACACATCTGATATTGCTTTTAGAGCTCCCATCAGATCATGATAGTTTATCTGCTTAACATTTTAGTCTCTTCTTCTGCCCTCAATCAATGTGTCCCATAGCACCCATGGTTATTCCAGGTTATATCCTCTCATTATGCTTGACACAATATTCAACTATATATCTTTTTGCTTGGACCCTCATTATTGTTTGATAGGGCAGCTAAACAATATTTCATTTTTATCTTCTTTTCTGGTTTGTATTGTTCTGGGTTGTCAATACATGCATCATGTACTGATCTCGTTGCCAGGTATTTGAAAATCCTGTACATCATCCAATCCTTAAAAACATCTGAAACTGCTTTTAGTGCTTCCATCAGATTGTAATAATTTATTTGCTTAACATTTTAGTCTCGTCTTCTGTCATCAATCAAGGCATCTCATGCCCGCCCTTTATTATTCCAGGTTATATCCTCTTATTATATTTGACATTTTTGTAGGGTCGAAAAAATTGAAGTTGATTAATTTTTGTTTTAAGAATGGGTTCGATCGCTTGGTACGAATCTCTTACAATCACTCACACTCTCTCTCGATTACAGAGGAAGAGAAGATTAATTTGACTTCTCTTTTGTTTAAAAGTGAGTTCTTGGTGGCGAAAGGATGCCTCACTCGATGCTTGAGTCGAGCTTGCTTCCCGTTGACGATCAAATCAAGATCGCTTCAACTTGAGAAGAGAATCAGACTTTGTTGATGGCTTAGATTGTTAGAACCGAGGTTTGGATCTCAATCTTGAATGCCAAAGCTCTGCCTCTCCTGCTCCTCGTCTGCCCCCCTCTTTTATAGCTACTTACGGTTATTTAGAGTTTCAGCACGTATATGACGTGCTAAAATTGTGGGTAGAGGACGTAATTGCCTCCTACAATTTAGCTCAGTAGATTAATGGAGCGTAACGTGCTCCTGAAGTTTAGCCCACGTGACTGACTAGGTCTTCGGAGCTGTTACAGTTGGATCTCTAGCGGACGACGAGCCTCGCTGTTTGGCGAAGTTCATCTGATTGAACGAACCTCAATATGCAACGAAGTTCGTCTTCTAAGGCCAACTTTGCACTACAGCGAATTATGTCTTCACTGACGTCGTCTGACGAGCTTTGTATTCACTAACAAACTTCGTCTTCGACAGCTGAGTCTAACTGTGTAGCAAGTCTTGTGAATTTTCTTTTGACGAGCCTCATCTACACTAATGAGCTTCACGTCTGGTGATGAGCTCCGAACCTCGTATCCAATGACGAGCTTCGAGCCCCGATTCCAATGACGAGCTTCGAACCTCGTATCCAACGACTAGCTTCGAACCTCGTATCCAATGACGAGATTCGAACCTCGTTTCCACTGATGAGTTTCGAACCTCGTCTTTTGATATTGAGCATCGCTGCATAGCGAACATCGTCTTTTGATTTTGAGCCTCGCTGCATGGCGAACCTTGTAGGCGAAGCTGTCAGGCGAGCTTCAATCAGTTCAGACGAGCTAAATTGTCAGACAAACTTAGCATTGTAGGCGAATTTTAATGTTCAGGCGAAGTCCAGTTTTGCAGACGGACTTCAGAACATGCTACGAAAAACGGATCATAACTTTCAAACTGTAAGTCGGAATTGGACGAATTATATATAAAAATCAACTATCTCGAGGAGACGGAGCCGACCAAACCCACCCAAAGGGTTCGGTTTGATCCTGTCTGTTTCGTCAAATTCCTTACGGTTCGAGAGATACTAGCATTTTTGTCAGTTTTGAGCTTTGCTAGGAATTAAGGTAATTTTTATTACCTACAAAACCCCCTCTAAAGTTTTTAGACCTAAATCAGGTTGCATGGGGTCTAAAATATTTTGGCTCTTAAGGCCTGCAAAATGAGCACTATTCAGATGAAATGAGGAGTCTTCCAACGAACTTTTCCATTTTGGTAAAGTTGAACTCTTCAGACGTAACTAATGATCGTCATCTAGGATTTTTAGCAAACCCTCAGCTATCAACGGATTTGACGTTTCTTTACCAACTGTCGTTTGAGTTGGACTAGCCATGCTTTTGCCCTTAGCATGGTAAGTTGTCGAGGGGTTTTTCTTAGGTTTAATGTTAAGATTTATCCTCTATCCTTGGACATTCAAGACGTTGGATTAAGTATTCGAGTATGATTATAACAGTTAAGTTGTAATCAAGTTTGGTTGTGTCATTCAGTGTAATAGCTCAACCTGAAAAGTCGAAAGAGAGTCTTATCACATGGTAGACCTGCTATTTCAAGAAGCGGTCATTTGTAAGGATGACGGTGTGAAAGCAATCAAGTCGTTCAGTGACATGAAAGTATAACAACTGTGATTAGAATAAAGACACATCGCATGGTAGACCACTATCTTCGACCGTTCTATGGGATAGAACTTTCGAAAAAAACCAGATAGTGAATCATCGCATGGCAGATCACTATCTTGATCGAATGAAAAGTCGGTGTTCATTGCATGGTAAAACACTACTTGGCGAGGGATATCAAATCGTTCAGTGACATGAGAGTATAACGATTTTAATTAGAATAGTGACACATCGCGTGGTAGGTCACTATTTTCGATCATTCTAAGGAGAAATGACTATCAAAGATAATCATTAACATTATAGTTTTGTGATCCCGCCATCCTATTAAAGAGGATTGACGAGAGAATTTGGAGGAAGTGACTATCAGAGGTAGTCATTAACATGATAGTATTTTGGTAAGGGGCCAGATGCTTACGTCTCACTTCGCACTCACCTTGGAGTTGATTTATGACGAGCTTCGGGTCGTCATGGCTTCATCAGAGAGAAAGCTCAAGGTAGTACATGGTTTTGTAGAGAAACCGTGACTACCCCTACTCCAGCGATAACTGTAAATCAGGATTGAAGGGTAAAAGACTCATGCATCTAATAAGGCTTAGACCTTATCCTTCAGGGTGTAATATTTAGAGATGGGATGATGAACCATCCTGTGGTGCGCATAATAGTTGGGATCATCCGTTCTCAACATCTCCTCAGGTCGCATCGATTTGGGGAGCTTGATCTTTTTCGCCTTGATCAAGAATTTGAGGATCGGGATGACTTGCTCATCTTGAAAATCATACTTCTGTTGAAAGCGGCTATCCGAATATTTGCCCTTTTGCTTTGACGAAGATTTAGGGGAAAAAATGATTTTTACCGTCAAAGCATCTTTCCCTTTTACATAAGTCAGAGGGGTGAGGTTGTCTTGGTCATACCTCCTTGAAAATCATATGGCTCTTCAGCATCTAGCCTTTTGAGCATGTTTTCGATTTGTTCTCCTTGACGAACAAGCATTTTCCAAGTTTGGGTCTTCACCGCTCTAATTTTGAATAAAATATGGATCGAGAGATTATTGCGACACATCTCGATCAACGTACTTTCAGAGAATTGATCACAGCAATGCAACGACCGATTTTTAAATCTCTTGATAAAGTTACTGACACACTATGTCTTTTTCTATTTTTCAGTTAGCAGGGTGGCCATAGATACTTTTGTGTCATCGTCGAAGAATCTAGCCAGAAAAAATCTTACTATATCCTTCCAACAAGTGATGGATTCAGGCTCCAATCTGCGAAACCATTCAAAAGCGATCCCCTTGAGGGTACTAATAAAAAGTCAAGTCATAATGGAATCATTTTTCACTATGTGTCCAGTTTGCGCCTAGAAGTAGTAGATGTGTTGGGTAGGAGAATCCTTGTCATCGAATTACAATAGATTTAGTGGCTTGAACTTTGGAGGAAAGGGGACATCGTCCCATTCAACAGGGTACAGTCTAACCACCCCCAGTTCTCTGAAGTTTCTCTGAAGTTTCTCTGAAGTTTCTCTGAAGCTTCAAAGCCTCAAGCTGCTTCTGAAAATCATCCAACTTCTGATCTCGGTTATTCTTACGCGGGTTGGACTCTGCTTCAAATGATTCAGAGTGAATATCAAAACTCTTTTCCTCATCTTCTTCATTATTGTCATCTTAATTTTGACGGCTAGATTCCCGAGCACTAGATGAATGTCGTTGGTGCCTTGATCCTGAGGATTCGGTAGTAGCTTTCATCTTCTTCTCCTTGAGGAGTTTGTCCATCATATCATCCAAACGTCTAGTGGTTTCTTGTTGTTGGAGGAGAGCAGCTTGTTGTTCTTCTAACCTTCTTGTCATTTTTTCTTTATTCCCGGCCATGTGAGCGCTCACTTGCTCACTTTGATCGGTGCTGAAAGGTTGGGATGTTACAATGACAGAGTTTTCAGGCTCTTCATCGACATCATAGGATATACCCGCTAATTTTCGATAATGCAACGAGATCCTTGCTCTGGTACGGGTACGGGTGTGTTGGTGAACACCCTGTCTTTCAATGAGTGTTTCTCGTAATCCTGGGAAAAACTCAAGATTGGAGGACTCAGAAGAATCGGTTTGGGTTTTATCTTTGCTTTTACCAACCATATTGATCGTCACTTCGACGTGGCGATTTTTGGATGCTTGCTTTTTAAAACGAAAGCGTCTTCTTCTTGCCGAAGGAATCATCAATGGCTCTGACAGTCGTTCAAAGACTATAGACTTGTGTGTTGATACCCTACATGGGCATTGGGAGAGCACTACGGAGATAAGTTTCTCACAACTGCAATTGGATTTCATCTGGCTCATACTGCGCTTACGAACTAGGTAATCACAGAGATCAATAACAGGACCACCCCCTGTTAACTCAGGTAGCTTGTTTATGCATGCGTAAGAATCTCTAAGTGTTAGAGATTGGCGAGCCTGGTTGGCTGGACGAACATCATGTTGAAGACGGGGTCCGTCGTCTGAACGCACTCGGACGTTTGGACGAGGCTCATGTGCGATACGAGGTTCGTTGGTTGGGCGAGCCTCGTCATTCATACGAGCTTTGATATTCGGACGAACGTGGTTCGGGGAACGAACCTCGTATTTCATGCGAGGTTCGTCAATCGGACGAACTTGGTTCCAAGGACTGATTTGTCGTCCGGGTCGAACCTCGTCTTGGACCTTTGAATGTTTCTCTATAACATTGCTAGTTTGAGGTTGAAGGTGAGATTCGTCTTTTCGACGAGGTTCGTCACTTCGTCGAGCCTGAGTCTTGCTATTCTGAGCAGTAGGGCAAATTTGCACTAGTTGTTTTGGATGAGTCTCGTTTTGAAAGCGAGGTTCGTCAGCCGAGCATATTTGAATGCATGGGCGAGGCCTGTTGTTTCAATGAGCCTCGTGTTGAAGACGAGGTTCGTCATTCAAGCGAGGTTTGTCCTCCTGACGAGCCTGGATTTGGCTATCTTTCCCAATAGAGCAAGCTCGTTGAGTTGGACGAACCTCGTATTGAAGCTCATCATTCGAACCTAGTTGGGTACCAGGGTGAAGTTCGTCATTTTGACGTTCCTCTGCTAAATGACCCTCAGTAGGCTTGTGGGCCTTGGACATATTATCTCGTGGCCGATAGTGAAAACCGTCCGACGAGACCAGGACTTGAGCCTTGCGGCGAGCCTGGTTCTGACGTCGACGATGTCTTGCTTGTTTTGAGAGCAAATTAGCAGCAGATTCTACAACAGTCAACTTCTAGCTAAGTTGTTCAGTAGAAGCAACCAAAGTTTGGCAAGGTTGCTTGACATCGCACCTCTTAGCCTGATGGCTAGTTTTCAAAGCCTCGTTATCCAGAGGTAAAGGTTTCTCTTCGAGACTGACTCAAGTTGAATTATCAGAAGCCACGTGGGATGAAGTCTCATAAGAGACTATGTTATTTGCGTGCCTTCGTGGGACTTAAAGTTCCATAGGAGAGGAACTCCTCATACTTAGATTGATCGAACTCGATTGGTCGAACTCGATGACGACAGTTTCGACCTCGGTTCCCACTACGATCTGATCTGATTACGCCATCATCAGTTCATCGAAAATAATGGCTTCTCCTACTGTGGTCGTCATCTTCTGTAGGGTCAAAAAAATTAAAGTTGATTGATTCTTGTTTTAAGAGAAAAGATTAATTTGACTTCTTTTTTGTTTAAAAGTGAGTTCTTGGTAGCGAAAGGATGCCTCACTCGATGCTTGAGTCGAGCTTGCTTCCCGTTGACGATCAGATCAAGATCGCTTCAACTCGAGAAGAGAATCAGACTTTGTTAGTCGAGCTTGCTTCCCGTTGACGATCAGATCAAGATCGCTTCAACTCGAGAAGAGAATCAGACTTTGTTGATGGCTTAGATTGTTGACGATCAGATCAAGATCGCTTCAACTCGAGAAGAGAATCAGACTTTGTTGATGGCTTAGATTGTTAGAATCGAGGTTCGGATCTCAATCGTGAATGTCAAAGCTCTTCCTCTCTTGCTCCTCGTCTGCCCTCCCCTCTTTTATAGCTATTTGCGGCTATTTATAGAATTTCAGCACGTAACCAACGTGCTAAAATTGTGGGTAGAGGGCGTAACTGCCTCCTGTAATTCAGCTCACGTTGGTTAATGGGGCGTAATGTGCTCCTGAAGTTTAGCCCACGTGGCTGACTAGGTCTTTGGAGCAGTTATAGTTGGATCTCCAGCGGACGACGAGCCTCGCTGTTTGGCGAAGTTCATCTTATTGAACGAGCCTAAATATGCAGCGAAGTTCGTCTTCTAAGGCCAACTTTGCAGTACAGCGAACTCTGTCTTCATTGACGTCGTCTGACGAGCTTCGTATTCACTAACGAACTTCGTATTCGACAGCTGAGTCCAACTGCGTAGCAAGTCTTGTGAATTTCCTTTTGACGAGCCTCATCTTTACTAATGAGCTTCACATCTGGTGATGAGTTCCGAACCTCGTATCCAATGACGAGCTTCAAACCCCGTTTTCAATGATGAGCTTTGAACCTCATATCCAACGACTAGCTTCGAACCTTTTATCTAATGACGAGCTTCGAACCTCGTTTTCACTGATGAGCTTCGAACCTCGTCTTTTGATGTTGAGCTACGCTGCATAACGAACCTCGTCTTTTGATGTTGAGCCTCGCTGCATGACGAACCTCGTAGGCGAAGCTGTCAGGCGAGCTTCAATCAGTTCAGGCGAGCTAAGCTGTCAAACGAACTTAGCATTGCAGGCGAACTTTAATGTTCAGGCAAAGTCCAGTCTTGCAGGCGGACTTCAGAACATGCTGCGAAGAACGAGTCATAACTTTTAAACCGTAAGTCAGAATTGGACGAATTATATATGAAAATCGAATATATCGACGAGACGGAGTCGACGGGTTCGGTTTCGTCAAATTCCTTACGGTTTGAGAGATATTAGTATTTTTGTTAGTTTTGAACTTCTTTGTTAGGAATTAAGGCAATTTTTATTGCTTACAATTTTCTTCTACAACATTTTTTTATGTGGACCCTGATTATGGTCCCGTTATGATTTAAGGTCCCTTGAAACTGGTAAGACTTGTTTATTAATTTGAAGTCATTTCTTGATTTCAGGCCACCGACACTTTATGGTGTTCCAAAGACCCTAGAGCAGTTTCCGACGATCCAAGAACTGTTTCCAAAGTTTCAAGAACAATCGGCAGCTCCAGAAACATTTGGCGACCAGCAGAATAAACCTGCCAACTCCTTCAAGCTCCGAATCTCGAAACCTCAAGAAACTTCTGCCCCAGCTAGTTCAAACCTTTCAGATGCTCATCTGCTGCCCATGGTTGATGCTTCCAAGGACACTGATACTGTCTCCAATAATAGTGAGAGGAAGAGAAATGTCTTAAAGATCTCGAAACCTCAAGAAACTTCTGCCCCAGCTTGTTCAAACCTTTCAGATGCTCATCTGCTGCCCATGGTTGATGCTTCCAAGGACACTGATACTGTCTCCAGTTCAAACCTTTCAGATGCTCATCTGCTGCCCATGGTTGATGCTTCCAAGGACACTGATACTGTCTCCAATAATAGTGAGAGGAAGAGAAATGTCTTAAAGATCTCGAAACCTCAAGAAACTTCTGCCCCGGCAACTTCAAACCTCTCTGATGCTCATATAGTGCCCATTGTTGATGCTTCCAAGGACGCTGATACTGTCTCCAATAATAGTGAGAGGAAGAGAAATGTTTTAAAGATCAAGGTCAAGCAACCAGGATCATCAAGTAAAGCAGATGGTATTGACCAAATCATCGAAAATTCTCGAGGCGGGCAGAATGACACCAATGAAGTAGTAGGCCCCACCAGTTCTGTTTCTGTAGATGCCCCTAATCATCATGATACAAGCGAGCCACTTCATGTCAGTAACCAAAACATTGAAGAAGTGAACTCCTGTTATGTTTACGAATCTCGAGTAACTGCTAGTATTGGTAGCAGCGCCAAATTGAATAAAGATGGTGTTCAGGAGTTACAGTGCACAGCTGATTCAAGGAAGAGTATTCCTTGGGATCAATCTTCTCCTGTCACTGAGAGAACTGAGGTGGAAGTTCATCAAGAACACTCCCTCCTACAGGAGGCGACAGTGAAGAGGAAGACGGAAAAGAAAAAGGACAAGGAAAAGAAAAGGAAACGAGAAGATAAATCTGGTGAGAAAGATCGTTCTAATGACCCTGCTTATCTGGAGCGTAAGCGCCAGAAGAAGGAGAAGAAACGTCTCAAGAAGATGGAAAAGATGATGAAGAAGGGTGAGGGGAAGTCTTTGGATGATTCGATGAAACCTGTGGCAGAGTCTTCTAAAGGTGATCAATCCTCTGAAGGATCCAAGAAATTGCAAGGGAAAGTAGAAGACCATAATATACTGAAACCTAAAGAAACCAGTTCAGCCCCTAAATTAAAAATTAAAATTAGAAGTCTTGGTGGCAAAAATGGGTAGAGGTGTAATATGTAAATTGACACAGTAGTAGTTGTGTTGTAATCTAATTTCTTTGTATTCTGATATATAATTTTTTCATGTGAGTTGAGCATCAATGCATTTTAGAGCAATGACAGAAGATGAGGCGATACTTCGTTAGTAAACTTTAATGTCTTTCAGAGATAGAATAGCATAAGGTTAGAACAAATTTGTTGCGGGTATTGACTCATTGCCGGATGTATGTTGACTGTGAAGCTAATGCGTTTGCAACATACAACCCGAAACAGGTAAGGCGGCAGTTGTGACTATTGAATTTGTATGTTTATGTACTAGATACTCTTTTCTTTTCCTTTTCTTTTTTTCAGTTAAATGTATGTACTTGATTTCAACGTCAGTCTTGTATTTGTATGTACTAGATATTGATCGGTGTAGAATAATTGTGAGCTTTTGGCTTCATTTGTGAAGGATTGATTATTTTTCTTCTGTTTTTCATTAGAACAATAATGTATATGTTAATATATTTTAGTATTAATTTAAGTGAAAATCTACAATTTCTGAAACTATGATGAGAATTGAGGGTTATGTTTTTATATTCCAACAATAAAGATCCTTCTGACGTGCAATCCATGTTGGTACGTATTTTTCTTCTATTTTAACGTTACTTTTTAGTAACTTTGTAACAATTGATAGTGCATGTTTGCCAATTCCAACAAAATATTACATTTTGGAGTGTGAAGCATATTTGATTTAGGTTATTGTCCGGACCTGTCTATATGGACTCCAAAAGTCGCCGCCATTAGTGTTGTTTAATGACGGAATAACAAGCTTAAACTTCGACAAGTAACAAGAAAGAAAGAAGATCATATGCGTGACGAGCTATCGTGGATACATTGCTGTGTATATGAACATATTGTTACCATAATTCTTACATATTAGATTAGAAAAGGAAAAAATTTTAAAACAGACCCTTTTTGAAATTTAATGGGCAAAATCGACCTCCAAGAAAAAATATTAGCAAATCCGACCCTTTTTCTGAAAATGGTCGGTTTTGCAGTGATGGGGCTTCTACGAAGTGCATGGGACTAGTAGTCCCGTGCATTTTATATTTAGTAAACGAAGTGCACAGGACTGCTAGTCTCGTGCCCTTGGTCTTCAATAGGCGACTTCCTCTCTGCCTAAAAGTCGGGACTGCTAGTCCCGACTTTTAGGCAGAGAGGCTAAAGACCAAGGTCGTGATGTGCCTCTCTGCCTAAAAGTCGGGACTGCTAGTTCCGACTTTTAGGCAGAGAGGCACTAGCTTGCTGAAGACCAAGTGCACGGGACTAGTAGTCCCGTGCACTTTGTTTACTGAACACAAAATGCACGGGACTACTAGTCCCGTGCACTTCGTGTGCACGTTTTCGTGCACTTTTTGGCTGTATTTCATGTAGTCCATGTATAAACTTTAATGCAAAATCATAAACAAATCTAATATCATGAATTTCACCACATACTCACCATAAACTCATTTACAAATCTAAATATCATGAATTTCACTACGTACTCATTTACAAATCTAAATATCATGAATTTCACCATATACTCATTTCAAATCAAACAAATCACACCACAAACTCCCACTAACAAATCCAACATAATAACACCACAAACCCACTTAAAAATCCAACAAATCACACCATAGTCTCGCAAAGTCATATACAAATCTAAATATCATGAATTTCACCACATACTCGCCATAAACTCATTTACAAATCTAAATATCATGAATTTCACCATATACTCATTTCAAATCAAACAAATCACACCACAAACTCCCACTAACAAATCCAACATAATAACACCACAAACCCACTTAAAAATCCAACAAATCACACCATAGTCTCGACTATAAATTCAAAAACCATGTCACATCCCTAAATAGTTTTGTAACGTATATAACCTGTAGTTTACATACATCCAAGAACTCTCCTCCTCCTCCTTTGTCTTCGTCGTCCTCCATACCGCCCTTCGACGAGTTCGTGATCCGGTTGCGTTTGTGGTTGTGACGATCCAGCTCCATCAACATGTTGGAAAGGTCCAACTTCATCGTCATTTCGTCGTCCTCGACTTTGTCGCTGTTGTCGTGTGTATACGAATGGCGTTACCTCTCGTCTATCATGACGATCTTCGTGAGTTCGGTGTAAGGCTTGGTGAAGCCTCTGCATTATGGACTGATATATTGATACATGTTCATGTGCTTCTGGGTTTCTACCTATGATAGGTAGTGCAAAAAATTCAAAATTTGATATTAAATTTTCAAATTAAAGAATGTAAATTTGATAATTAATTTTATATTACCTGCTCGAGCCAATTCCAAGCCACGATTTGTAAGAGTTTGAACTTCATCTATTGCTGATACCTGCAAACTTTAGTAAATCTGTGTATTTCCTTAGTCATTCCATCAAAATTACACGACTTAGATAGCATGAACATTTTCCTAGAACCTATTTCCTTAGTCATTCCATCAAAATTACACGACTTAGATAGCATGAACATTTTCCTAGAACCTCCATCATACATAGGCAAATTACACGACTTAGATAGCATGAACATTTTCCTAGAACCTCCATCATACATAGGCAAATTATTCACTCCGATGTCGAGACTCCCATTGAAGAAGCAAATAATGGGTATAGAGTTAGCCATTGAAACTGAAAATCAACAATCCATCATATGTAAATAATCTATTATAACTGAAAATATTATTCATCATTATTCATCATATGTAAATAAATTTAATACACAAATCAATCCCAAATAATGGCTAAACCCCTAATCATTATTCATCATATGTAAATAATGGCTAAACCCTAACTATAAAATCACATTATTCATCATATTTCATAAAATAAAAACTAAAAATTTTCAGATCTAAAATCATAAACCCTAATCAATCCAAATCATTCATCAAAACTCTAATCCTACCCAATTCATATTCCTCATCAAAATTAACAACAAAATTAAAAAAATTAAACCTTGATCAGAGCTTAGTGGCTGTAGTCGGCAGCAACGACGCGTCACGTGTGAGACGGCAACGGCTGTGGTCAAGCGTTTGGTTCGAAGGCGGCGGTGAGGCGAACTGGGTCGGCGGGGTCGATGGGGTAGGGCGGGTCGGCGGGGTCGATGGGTAGGGGGGTCGGCGGGTAGGTGGGGCGTCGGGGGGCAAGGGGGTCGCGAGAGAGGGTTTGGGGGCCTTTTTTTCTTTTTTTTTTGTGGGGGGGGGGGGGCGGGGAGGGGGGGGGGGGGGGGGGGGGGGTCAGCGACGCGTTTTTTTTGGAAAAAGGGGGGGGGGGCGGTCACGAGCGTTTGAGGGGGGGGGTCTCGTGATTGGCCTTCTTTTGTTTTGATGATGATTACAACACAATTGTACATCTAATATGATTTGTCTATGTGTTTGTGTTTTATATTTATTCTAGGCGTCAACATATGTTGAAGGATGGATTATAATAGAGCTTCGAACGATCATCTCCAATGGAGGTTGCGGAATTCGTGGAGTGAAGCTTATGGCAATATCAATGTTTCAAGATCCAAGTTCAGCTTCATCGCGCATAATGTACCGAGTCAAGCTTAATGAAGATCAAGATCCGCTTCGGGTAATTTAGTTTAGGTTTTATATTATGTGTGTTAAGTACCTTAAGCTCAATATCATATACACACACGTATTTGGTTTCTATGTATAGTCATATATATATATATACAACACAAGTTTTGGTTTTTATGTTTATAAATATGAAATTACATATTTCATATTTATTATTGTGATTTGGTTTAACTACTTAGATATGAAACAAATATATTTTCATATACATACTCATATGTTTTATTTTCTATTGTATTTGTAAAAATATTGTATTCTTAGTTTTTGGACTTAACAATAATCATATACATATTTTATTAAGTCTACATAATCATTGTGAAAAGTTTTAAAATATGGTTTAGCCAAAATGTCAAAATTCACATGTTTACATTTTCATGTTTTGGCCTATTTTGTAAAATGATGATATTTTTCATTTGGGAAGTCTTTTTTGGAAACCAGTCATTGTATCATGTTTATTATCATGTCTACAATCATTCTCTAAAGTTTTATATTTTTTGGAATTTATTTGATATTTTTAAACAGTGTTTTAAAATCAGAAAACTGTTCAAAACTGTAAAATTTTTCATATATCAGTTCACGGTCGACCGCCACGGTCGACCGCGCCTGAGTCTTTTCCATAGTGAGCAGCAGAAACTTTCGCAATCGACCGCCACGGTTGACCGTCAAGCTGAATTCCTCACAGTCGACCGCCGCGGTCAACCGTCGAACTCTCTGGAGTTTCTCCTGTTGTTTTTGTTGCTCGCGGTCGATCGCCGTTTATCCCAACGGCTCTTTTGTACAGAATCAGATTTCTGATTCTTGGGCTGTTTGGTCTTTTCCCTTGGGGTTTTTGCTGTTGCTTCCTCTTCCTATATAAACCCTCAAACCCCCTTCTATTTCAGTAACAAATGGGATGTTTTAAACAACTTTAAAAAAGTTTTAACAGTGGTTTAAGTTTGGTTTAAAGCTGTTTTTGGTTGGTCACAAGTGGAGGAGATCATCTATATTGTTTGAGCTTCCTTTTAATCTATCTCTCCATCTTGTTATTCAGAGAAGAATCTCTAAACTCATATCTAGCTATTTTTATGTTTGATTTACATTTTCATAAGCTAGCATTTGTATTGAGTTTAGTTTGATTTTGATTTACTCATTGTTTACACACACACCCACTTGAGCTTATTGTATTTTCATACATAGTATTGTTGGGTTGGTGAGAGTTGTAACAATTGAGTGTGAGCTTTCATTGTGTTCTCATCCATATTAGAGAACAATCATTTGTTGTATTTGTGCTTATTGTGAGATACACTTTGTAATACACTCGTACACCAAGAGGAGTGTGTGGTGAGAGTCGGGGATCGTCCCAAGAGAAGTGGCGTCGGTTGACGAACCTAGGGAGAGGTTGTAACCGAGCACTTGAGGGAGATACGGCTAGGTCCAACACTTGTGAGGGTGTAGAGTGGGTTTGCAAGAGTGTGAGTTGTAGAGTTTTCGGTTAGCTAGAAAACCGAGTGCGTAGAAGTTCCGGCCTCCAAACCGGATTGTGATAGTGGATTTTCTCCCCGGGAGAGGGGAGCGGAGACGTAGGACGGAAGGTCCGAACTCCGTGATCATATCGTATGTTTGAGTTTGCTTTGGTGCACTTAATCTTATGTTTATATTTCTTGTCACCATTGTCCATAGCTCATTATTTTTATCATCCACTATCTAGTTCATATTGTTTACCCTTGTGTTAGTTTACATATCCTTGCATATATCATATTGTATATCTCTTTGGTAGGATATATCATCTTGTGCTAGTTTATATATCCTTATATATATATATATATATATATATATCATATAGGATATATCTATTTATTCATATTGCTTATTCTTACTTATAATTCTTGTATATCTATCTTGCAAGAATATACTTATTAATTAATTTTAATTGACATTTAAATCAGATTAGATTAGCATAAGACGCTAATCACCCCCCTCCTCTAGGGTCTAACAGGTCGGTCAAGAGGGAATTAAAGTGGACTGCATGAGACTACTAGTCCCGTGTAGGTCGGTTTTGCTCATTTTTTTAACACACAGTTGTTTTTGCTGAATAAATTGAAAAAAAGGGTGTTTTTAAAAATTGGTCCATTAGAAAAACATACATGCTATCCAACATCTCAAGCCTACTAGATTTAGGACAAATTTTCAAAACAGTCCTATTTGGACATTTAATTTGAAAAAAAGACCCATTTTGAATTTATTTGTAAAAACCGACCTGGTTTCAGCGTCAGGGCTGAAACCAGGTCGATTTTTACAAAAAAAGTTCCGTAAAGTCAAGTCCCGTGAAGTTTAGCAACCATTTTGTTAAGCTGCTAAACTTCACGGGACTTCAAGTCTCCCAAGTCCCGTGGAGTTTCAAAGCTGAAGTTGCAGTTCCCACCCCATTCCGCTCACTCCCCCATTCCCCTTCATCTCCCTCCCCAAATCAGAAAAATGTTGTCCTCTCACAGCTGAAGAGCTTTGAGTCACTGTCCAATCCTCTCTAATCCTCTCTCTCTTTCCCCCAATTAATTAATTCCTAGGGAATTAATGAAACAGAGAGAAGGCCAGGCCTGCACATCTTCCTTCATTCTTCTTCTTCCCCAGATTCAATGGATCTGCTGCTGTTTTGGGGAGGGAGATGAAGGGGAACGAGGAGTTCTTCATAATAAATTAATCAAAGTACAGATCCCGAACGCGCATATCAAAGTAAACTGTAATAGCGACAAAATTACAATAGTTTGTGTAAAAATTAAAAAACCTAGGATCTCGAGAGAGCGGAATCGATCAGCTGGTGATGGATTAAGAGAGGAATTGAGATCTGCGAGGGAGATTGGATCGAACCTGTAGAAATCGACGGATTTAAGCTTGCTTGAAGTGATCATCGTGGCGACGGATGGAGTGAGATCTCTCTCTCTCTCTCTCTCTCTCTCTCTCTCCCCCCTTCGAAATTGAGAGATTTATGAAATGAAAAGGGAGGATAAATGAGTGAATAATAAGAGAGAGAGAGGGATGCAGTGTTAACAATTTTTTTAAATCCGGTGAAGTTCTTCTGAAGATTACGTCTCGTGGAGTTTGGGCATTTATGAAATTTTGAAACTTCACGGGACTTCAAGTCCCGTGAAGTTTAGCAGCTTCACTAACTTGTGACTAAACTTCACGGGAGTTGAATTCCCGTGAAGTTTCGAATTTTTTTTAACAAAAACCGACCTGGTTTCAGCTCTGACGTTGAAACCAGGTCGTTTTTTGCAAATAAATTCAAAATGGGTCGGTTTTTGAGATTAAATGTCCAAACATGATTGTTTTGAAAATTTGTCCAAAATAACTATGTTATATAAGTTATTTGTGCTTGATAAATCTAGTCTGGAAATTTTCAAAACCAACCCTTTTAGCATTTTATTTGCAAAAAACGACCTATTTTGAAAATAATTACAAAAACCGACCTGTTTTCAGCCCAGCGCTGAAAACAGGTCGGTTTTTATAAAAAAAGTCTCCGAAACATCACGGGAGTTCAACTCCCGTGAAGTTTATCGAGAAATTAAACTTCACGGGAGTTGAACTCCCGTGAAGCTTAATTTTGCTTAAAACTCCACGAGAGTTCAACTCCCGTGGAGTTACAGTCGAAAATTTCCAGCGAACCGAGTCTCTGGCAAATTGTGACTGCAACTTCACGGGATTTCAACTCCCGTGAAGTTGCAGGTCACCCAGCATGCACAGCTTCTGTGCAGGTTTTGTATATTTACCTGTAAATCATATATATGTCAATTTATTTGCAAACAACAATATATACATGATTCCACAATGAATTATAACTCATATATATGCCAATTTATTTGCAAACAACAATATATACATGATTCAACCATGAATTAAACACACACGATTATGTATATGAACAACAATTTATCTTCAAAAGTTCAGTATTTGAAAATTCAGGAAAGTTACAAAATTTATCAAAATAAGTTCATATACAACCCAATATAGCTCCCCTCCTTCCTCTCCCTCTCTTCCCCCTCCCCCTCGCTCTTCCCCGCCCCCTGGGTTCCTACTGATGAGCCTCAACTATCTGAGTATCCGACCAGGAAAGTTACAAAATTTATCAAAATAAGTTCATATACAACCCAATATAGCTCCCCTCCTTCCTCTCCCTCTCTTCCCCCTCCCCCTCGCTCTTCCCCGCCCCCTGGGTTCCTGCTGATGAGTCTCAACTATCTGTGTATCAGGC